ATATAATATACATATAATATACATATACATATACATATACATATACATATACATATACATATACATATACATATACGTATACATATACGTATACATATACATATACATATACATATACATATACATATACATATACATATACATATACATATACATATATATATACATATACATATACATATACATATACATATACATATACAGATGCATGTGTCAGTGTCTGTGTATGTGTCTGTCTCCGTCGCTGTCTCTGTGATTGTGTATGAGTCTGTGTATGTTCATTCATACCCATGCATGTCCATGCCCTTCCGCGTTGTGTCAGTGTCTGTGTATGTGTCTGTCTCCGTCGCTGTCTCTGTGATTGTGTATGAGTCTGTGTATGTTCATTCATACCCATGCATATCCATGCCCTTCCGCGTTTCATATTCTCCTGCTGTATGCACCTTCTATCTCCCTAATGAACTCTCCGTAGTAAACCCTATCTCCCTAATAAACCCTATCTCCCTCGTCAACCCTATCTCCCTAATAAACCCTATCTCCCTCATCAACCCTATCTCCCTCATCAACCCTATCTCCCTCATCAACCCTATCTCCCTAATATACCCTATCTCCTTAATAAACCATATCTCTCTAATAAACCCTATCTCCTTAATAAACCCTTTCTCTCTAACAACCCATATTTCCCTAATAAACCCTATCTCTCTAATAACCCCTATTTCCCTAATGAACCCTATCTCCCCAATAAACTCTATCTCTCTAATAAACCCTATCTCCCTAGTAAACGCTTTCTCTCTAACAACCCATATTTCCCTAATGAACCCTATCTCCCCAATAGACTCTATCTCTCTAATAAACCCTATTTCCCTAATTAAACCCGTGCCCTTATTATTTCTATACCTCCCACAGAATCGACACCATCAAGAAGTACTCTACTGAGATCTTCGCAGATCTGGACATCAACATCATTCACAAAGAATGGCGCAACCGAGAAGCATCGTAAGTCGCCTGGTACTCTATACGTTGTACGCTTTGGCCTACGAGAGAGAGAATACACACGTACAAATTTACGTATACACATTTACGTATACATATTTACGTATATGCATTTACGTATACGCATTTATGTATACGCATTTACGTATACACATTTACGTATAACGTATACACATTTACGTATGCACATTTATGTATACACTATTACGGATACTTCTTCACGTGTACAATCTATCGCATGTGTGTCATGGGTTATGTATATATTATCGTACCTACGGTTGTGGGTCTTTGTTCACCTTTTGCACAATAGTACTTCCGTATGCGCACATGGCCCTGTGTTTGGCCTAAAGTAAATGTGTATTGCTGTGTGTGTCACATGGTTCTGTATTTCAAATAGTTGTGCCTGTAGTTGTGCTTGCGTCTGAGGTGTGCGTGAGTGTGCGTTTGTGCACATGACTCTGTACAAACCCCAAAACCCTAATAACACATCACTCCCCTTACTGAGAACCACCTCGTCCTATTTGTCCCATACAACCCCTACCCAATAAACCTGGTTTTTCGCATGGACATCCGATACTTCAACCGGGTTTATCCATCCACTCAGGTGCTTGGCCATGTCTGATCTGATCAGCACTCTGCAGACCGATCTAACGAACGACCAATTTGAACAGACCTGGCTGCTGTGCGTGCGTGTGCTGGACGATATCAAGGTACT